ACTATTCTCTCTCTCATAGATTTCAATGCCGTAAACTTTTAATCAACCAGTTAGGGTCAGTTTGTTGATGAGCTTAAAGGCATGTTGCATTCTTGCTAGATAGTCTAGTTTAGCACAGTTATTTAGAAGGGAAACTAATTTTTACATTTATTCTTAGGAAGATAAAGAAGTATATGACTGTGGTGTATTAGCATTGATATATGTTGAAGATATGCATATTGTATTAACTATTTAGAAGGTACTACGCTCAATCTAAGGAACTTTTTGTCATTTGGCTGCTAACTGAACAGTTGACAGCTCAAATCCTCTAGCTGCTCTGAGAGAGAAAGATGAGGCTTCTTCCTCTCATGAAGATTTATAGCCTCAGAAATGTGATGGAAGGTCAATGTGAGTTAGAGTGGAATAGAATTCCATGGTTTGTTCTTGTGGTTTTAGGGGTTTAGATACATTGGTATCTTCCTGCAAACTTTGTTCTATGATATGGCAGAGCAGTTACTGTCTCCTAAACAAGACATCCATAAAAATGCAGATTTAAAAATATTAATTTAAAAAATAACAATCCATAGGTAATATTGCTAAACATAAAATCTTTAAGTTACAAGTTAACTTTCTCTTACACATTTTAGGAACTATAACAAAAAAATGTTTATTTTCTGATCAAAATATATTTGTTTCATTTTCTTGACCAAAATTTAAAACTAAAATTTTGTGGAATTTTTCTTGTTTTCGGATCTGGTAGAGTTTTAAAGCTTCGATGAAAGGAATTATGTTATTTAATGTCATTATTTAATGTTGGCAAAGAAAAATGTGGGAAAACTGACCTAAGATTTCAGGAAAGGGAAACTGATAGTTACATGTATCATTTATTCAGGTCTCAACATTGTGGTAGATCTAGGCACAACTGTCTAGATCAATGAACAAAAGTACTTTGCAACTTGAATCAATCCTTTTTAGTCCTTTGGCTCAGGATTATCTGTGCATTTAGAAACCCAAACTCATTGCTGTTGGATAAGAACCACATGATAGCTCATCTTCCATTGGGTTTCCTTCCAAGGCTGAATAACACAGGAAGAGGTTGCCCATCTTTCTCTTCCTAAGCTGCTGGTGGGTTCAAACCCCCAGAGGGTCATGGCCTTTCGGTTAGCAGCACAGCTCCCTCAGGATATGCCATCAGAGCCCCCAGCATATCCTTTTCATTCTCAAGAAATGATTGTATATGGATTTATCCATGTTGTTTTAGTACTAATAAAATATTTTCTTTACTTTTTCTTTTTAGTCAAAATACATACACAAGAAAACATAATACCCATTCAACAATTTCCAAAATTTTCAGCAACACTTGGTTGTGTTTTTCATATTGTGTTAAGGTCTCATTATCTCTACTCATATTCTTTCACCACCATTAACATAGACTTAACTCTCCCCTAAAACTTTCCATCTGTGCTTTAGAATTACTTTTTCAATTCCGTTTCTTATCAGCAATTCAGTGCCCAAGTTGGGCCTTATTTTACTAATTGATCTAAACTGTTGATTGATTTAAAGATGACTTCAAGTAATAGGTTAGTTTCAAGTTTAAAGATTTTCACAAAGCAGAAGATTTGGAGATTCTTCCAGTCTCAAAGATCTAGTAAATCTGGGTTTCAAAAGAATTTGAAATTTTGTTCCGCATTTCTCCCCACCTTTGGCCAGCATCTATCTGTGGCATCTCTCATGAAAATGTTCCATGCTGGTAGGCAAATACCATCAAGTTCTTATCTCATGGCAGAGAAGGCAGTACTTGTTGGAGGCAATTAGATTTGTAGTCCAGTCTCTTCATATAATCCTTGGGTGTGTTTTCTCTGATGCACCAAGCAAGTAGATACCAGTTTTTGTATTTTTGATTGCTGCTTAGCTTTTAAGACCCCAAGCACTGCTCACTACATTAAAAGTAGACTAAGAACTCCAAAGCAGTATTAGACCAATTGACTGGATTATCTCATAAAACCATGACCCTAAACCATTAAACCTAAATATCTAGTCATGTGAGGTATTTGATTATATTTGGGTAATATTAACAGCTGTACTCTCTCTTTTTTTATTGGTGAAGTAGAATTACATATAACACATTCATCATTTTAGCCTCTTTTTTTTTAGTATACTCATTAGTAACACACAGATAAATAAGTCAAAGACTGTAACTGTTGCCCTTAGTCGCCACCAAATTTCCCATCATCATAGACAAAACCCTCTGCTTTCTCCTCCACCCCTGATAATCATGAATAGTCATATCTTTGTTTATCTATTCTTGTCATTTCATATAAGGGAGATCATATAATATTTGTCTTTTTATTTTTTTATAGTAGTTTATTTACAAAACTTGAATACATTGTTTTAAAGAACAGATTCTTCCAATTACCCTTACAGCCCCCCTCATATTGTACAACTCCATGTAAACTTACTTTGTTTAGAAGCAATGTGTTTTATGCACATTGTAGTATGTGTTAAGATTTCATTCCTCTTTCTGGATGAATAGTATTCCAAAAAGGAGCCCTAGTGGTATATTGGTTAAGTACTCAGTCAGTAGCCAAAAATCGGCAATTAGAACCTACCATTTCTTCCATGGAAGAAAAATATCATAGTCTTCTTTGATGAAGAAATTTTATAGGTTAGGTTAACCCTGTTCTATAGGGTTGGTGTGAGTCAGAATGAGCTTGATGGCAGTGAGTTTTGGAGGATTTTTATTTACTATTCCATTGCATGTGTGTGCCATATTTTATCTGTTCCTCTGTTGATGACCACGCAAGTTGTTTCCATTTTTTGCTATTGAGAATAGTGCTGCAGTAAACATAGGTGTACATTTGTTTGTTTATGCAGTGACTTTTAGGTCTTGGAGTATATAGCTAGGGATGGAATTTCTTGGTTGTATTCTGTTTTTAATTTTTGAAAAATCACCAATTTTCTGCCTGGCATTTGATAAAGGTTCTGGTCTCCCCAAATCATTGGCAACATTTGTTATTTTCTGTTTATTTATTTTTATCATTACCATTCTAATATAGCTGAAGTGGTATCTCATTGTACTTTTGACTTGCATCTCTGTAATAGCTATAATACCACATCCTAATGCCTGTTGTCACATTTCCTATGAAGAAAAATAAGAATGTGGCATAAGGATCAGAGGAAAACATATCAACAACTTACATTATGCAGATGACACAACCTTGAATACCAGAAGAATGTCTATATATGCTTTATTGGCTAAAAGCATTTGATTATGTGGGTCATAGCAAATTATGGCCAACATTGAGAAGAGTGGGGATCTCAGAATACTTAATTGTGTTCATGCAAAACCTATCTACCTAGATCAAGAGGCTTTAGTCCAAACAAAGCAAGGGAATGCTACATGGTTAAAACCAGGAAAGGTGTGCTTTGGGGTTGTATCCTCTCACTCTGTACCTGTGCAGTCGGTGTGCAGAGCAAATAATTTAAAAAACTGTATGAAGAAGAATGCGGCATCAGGATCGGAGGAAGACTCATCAAAAAACTGCATTATTTTGATGACACAATCGGACTGAAAACGAAGAGGGTCTGAAGGACTTTCTGCAGAAGATATGGCTTACTTCTAAACATCAA